AGAGAGAGAGAGAGAGAGAGAGAGAGAGAGAGAGAGAGAGAGAGAATTAGGCTAGAGACCTCAATCCTCTAGAGCTCAGGAGTATCCCTAAAGGTTAGGCAGTCATAGCTAAAATAAACCACATCCTGAATCCCAGTGAAAGATTTACATCACTGGAATTCCTACAACACATGCCAACTGAAGGTTTTGTGAGTCTAAAGATTAAAAAAAAATTAATGCAGTGGTTTTTCTTTTTAAGTTAGTGAGAGAACCTGGGGTTGCATTTCCATCAGGACTACAAATAGGCTTTTGTTCTTCCAAGAGAAATTTGTTGCAAAGCCATTTGGGCAACTGCATCCTGAAAACACACCCCAGCAAGGGTGATGGATCACCTTGCACTCATCTGCAATTAGCTATTTTCAAATAATGACAAAGTGTGAAGTTAACTGCTTATTTAAAAACTTTCTTTTTCATCCAAAGTAAATTCAAATATGATTGAAAATCTGACCTTTTACTACAGGAGCTCTTTTGACTAAAAGTAAAATTGAATTTTAATTCCTAAATCTCCATGTGTATACAGTGCCATGAGAACATCATACACATTGGCTCCAAGTCCCAGAGATAAATTGGCTTTGGGATTACTTGGATTAAAAACAAAACCTCCCTTAAGAGATTTATTTAATTTTCATGATGTTTCCTTTTTCTTAAAGCTAAAGAATAGTTCTTTTAAATTTCAGTTTTTCTTGATCATGAAAATGCCACCAAAATTCTGAATCGGCCAAGGAGATATAATTCAGGTAAATTGGAAGAGTTTGTTCAAGGAAATCTTGAGAGAGAATGTATAGAAGAAAAGTGCAGTTTTGAAGAAGCACGAGAAGTTTTTGAAAACACTGAAAAAACTGTAAGTATTTCCACATAACATCCTTCAGATGCAAAGAATAATAAATGTAAAAAAAGAGAAACTTCTCTTTGTAATTTTAAAATATCTATACATATATGTGTATTATAAATGCTATAAAAGAGAAGGAATTAAATCCAAGACATTTTAAATGCCACCATTAACTTCTCCTCTTTTTCTTTGTAGACTGAATTTTGGAAGCAATATGTTGGTAAGCAATTCATTTATTCCTCTAACTTGTATATGAAACATTTGAGAATTATGTATTTTTTCTTCTGTGTAAATACATATTAAACTCTGTCAAAAGGGCTCAGATAAGTAAGTTCCATTCTTTTATCCAAGACTGAATGGTGATATACTACAGGTTTATGCCAGCATGGGAGATATCAGTTGGCAGATAAGCTTACTCCTCCCTAGGGCTTCAAAAAGAACATTGGTTCACCTCAGGAAGCCGGAAGGAAGAAACAGAGATGATTGAATATGGGGACTGAATTAGAGTTTGCAAATCCCAGTAGAGAATCAGAGAATGCTGATTGACTTGTTTATTGCTTAAAAGACCTTCTCCTTATGATGGCCTATACAGCCCTTCACAATTGCCCTGCCCTTCCCTTCCCACTGCCCCCCATCTCATCTCTTATTGCTCTCACCTCACACACTGGACTCCAGCCATCCTGGTCTCTGTGATGCTTCTTGCACACTCTAGGAATATTCCCACTTTAGAGTCTTTGATCTAGCTCTTCCTTTAGTGTGGAATGCTCTTCTGCTAGATTTCTCTAGGCTTGCTACCTTACCTTCTTTGGGTCTTTGCCCAAATGTCATTATCTCAATGAAGCCTACCTTGATCATCTATTAATAGTTCAACCTCCCCCCCCCCATAACTCCTTCACTCTAGACACCATATCCTACTCTATTATTTTTCATAGCACTTTTCACCATCTGAGGTATCATATAATGTTCTTACTTATACTATTTATTATTTTCCCACCTCACTAGATGGCAAACTTCACATTGGTAGGGGCATCAATTGTTTTGTTTATTGATGTTTTCCTAGTACCTCAAACAGTATCTGGTAAAGAAGCACTGAGTAAATATTTGTTAAATGAATTTACCAAAATAAGGAAAAATCAAAACTTTAATGACAACTAAGTTTTAAAGTTAATTTAAAATCCAGCAGCAGGGTTTTGCAGCAGTATAAATTTTACAGGTTGACTTACCTGGGCAGGAAATTCACTGAGTTCCACCAATTTGAGATCCAGTTCTAATTTCCAGTTTCTATTCTGGAGACACTGTTGCATTTGTTCATACTCTTCTAACTCATAATTCCTCCACTTTTGTTTTTAAACCATGGGGGAAGAAGAGGTTCCCTCCATTACATTTGTTTTATCTGCCTTTCTTTGTTCTTGGTAATGAACACTACCATGGCAATTCTCTACTGGGGTATTCCCCCCAAGTTAATCCAAACAAGTCTTCTCATTCTCTATTTACTATTGTACTATATTTAAATTTTCAAATCTTGAGATATATTTTAAAGCACACCAATTCCTAAATTTTGCCCCCAAAATATTCTTGGCTGTATTTAAACTCCCATGATCCTTTCATTGCCCACCCCCTGACCTGGCCACCCACACCCTAGCAGGGGTAGGTCAATACCTCTTAAGATACATATTTTGAAGTTGGGCTCCTGCATTCTAGGTGACAGGTAGTGGTTACTGTATCTCACATAAAGATATGTGGGAAACATTAAGGACATGATTCTGTCACTATTGCTTTATCTACTGAAAAATAAAACACAAACAAGAAAAATATAATAACCCCAGGCCTCTTTTCACTTGCAACTGAGATTCCTATTTACCCCAAAATAGCCTATGCTATATCTCACTGTGTGGGCTGCCACATACATCAGGGACACAGGCCCCTCACTCCTGCCCCATTCTGGGCCATCAACTCACCACATAAAGCGTTCAACCACATTAACCAGCATCTGTCAAGTGCTTTACAGAGTGTCTGTCACACTTAATCCTCATACCAACCTTGTGAACCAAGTATCATTAACCTCATTTTGCAGAAGAGGAAACTGAGGTTTAGGGAGATTAAAAAACATGCCAAAGTTTACCCAGCTGGGGAGTCATGAAGCCCAACCTCTTGGCATCAATATTACCCCTCCCAGCCTTCAAATTTAAATGCAGCTATTCATTAAACAATAATGTAGTAGCCTTAAAAAGGAACCTCTCACTTGGCAAGGTCTGGTCCCTTGTCTTTGACCCCTACTGTCTGTGGCTTTGCCTCAGCCCAAAGTACACACAGACAAGCACCCAAAAGAGGACTAAATGCAGGATATAATGACACTCATTTTAAAGATATGTCTCAGCAAATGAGTTGTCGCGTAGCTGGCCGCGAGCCCAGACCCTTTCAGTGAAACATCCTAAATAATTCAGGTCCATTGGTCTAAACTATAAAGTGCAAATGTAGCTCATTTCTTAGACCAGTTCTGAACATCAATAATAACAAACCAGAGATAACATATTTTGTTTTTATAAAATTGGAACAAACTGAAGTATTTGTGCAAAAGCACACTGGATCAAGGGACAAAGAGGACACTGTCAAATTTACAGCAAGCAGACTTTCCAGAGAGGGACTATTTCTAAGAAGCTATATTAGTTCTTAGTCAATGGGACCTGGATACATGCCACTGACAGAGAACATGACAGACATGCTACTGCTCTTCCTAGAGCAGGTAAGGATCTCCAAGCTAGATGACAAGGAGTTTTGCTCTAAAGTTTGACTGGTAATTAGAAATTATTTGTCCCCTTTTTTCTCATTCTTTCATTCTTATGTGATCTTCATCCACTGTTTTGTTTCTCATATATTGTCTTGCTGATCTAGCTCCCATATTTTTTTCTTCAGGCTATTTATATTAGCTCAAAGTATATACCAGTCTACATTCTGGTCCTATTCATCCCTTTCTCCTGAAACATCCTTAGAAGTACGGATGGAGGCAGAGCTCTAAGAAAAGACTAAAAGGTTCCCTTCTCATCCTGACCCTTCCTTCCCCCTTGCCTATTTCTTCCTCCTGTTTTTTTACCACTAGTGTCTTCAAAGGCTTTTAAGAACTCTATAAATGTAGAAACTTTAGGAAAGGTAAAAAGGAAACATAACATATCCAATCTATACATAAGAAGGGACATTTTCAGAATCTTTTCTCTTTAATTCTTTTTACTCAAAATTGTTTCTCACTTTGCCTAAACCATTTCGGACCTAACACATAGACAACATATCTTTAAGCAGTAACAGATGCTTCTGGTATTTTTTTCTATTGTTTCAAACCAGAACTACATATTATACTTAAAAGTTAAATGATGACACAAGGAAAAAGATGCATTTGCTCCATGCCTAGGCCACCAGTTCCTTGAGCAGAAGTACCATATGTGAACTGGCTCAGCATGCACTGCAAGACCTGTGATAGAGCAGGTCTTGTACAACATATAGATAATAATTGTTAAAGTGAAGTGACTTGACTTGGAATTAACTCTGTCATCATTCTATAGGAAAGGACTGAACATTCTTCTCACCATATGCTGATACAGTACATTTTTATACTCAAAGGTCATTCTCCCTCTTCCTTTTCCAGTTACATGAACTATGTACATGCCTTCCTCTAGGTAACTTTCTAGGACAGTGTTAGCCTAAGAACCTTTGTCTGGGTTGTGTTTAGAAATTCAGGAAGGCAGGGGCATCCAATAAGCACCTGGCTTCCAGGTCAACAGTTCTGCTCTGACTCTAAACTCAGGCTCCCCTCCCCATGAGTCTGCGCAGGGAGGACCAGGCATTCTAAACAATTTATCTGCTAATTCAATGTCTTAACCTATCTCAAAGATGGAGATCAGTGTGAGTCCAATCCATGTTTAAATGGCGGCATATGCAAGGATGACATTAATTCCTACGAATGTTGGTGTCAAGTTGGATTTGAAGGGAAAAACTGTGAATTAGGTAAGTAACTAATTTTTGATTACTCATGGTTCAAAATTTCCCTTTAAAGCCAGACGAAACTGGGAAATACAATATTCATGTGTCATAATTTTCCCTTAAAAATATATTTTTATTGTAGTAATTTACACAACATGAAATCTATACTTTTAACAAATTTTGAAAGGTAAAACACAATATTGTTAACCGTAATCACTATGTTGTACAGAAAATCTCCAGAACTTATTCATCTTGCATAACAGGAACTATCCCCATTGAACAGCAACTCCCCATTTTCCCTTCCCCATTCTCTGCTTCTATGTTTTTTACTATTTTAACCATCTCATATAATCATACAGTATTTGTTGTTCTGTGACTGGCTTAATTCATTAGCATAATGTCCTCCAGGTTTATCCATGTTTTTGCATATGACAGGATCCCCTTTTTAAAGGCTGAATAATATTCCATTGTATAAAACATACTTTCAAAGCTTATAAACATTCATTTTATCTGTAGTCATAGATTCCAGAATGGGTTCAAGAAACTATTTTAAGAGCAATAATAATATTTGGTAGATAATAAGTAATGATGTTCCACTTACTTATTAATCCTCAGTACAACCATATGCAGTCAGTACCATTATTATTATACCCATTCCATGAAGATGAGAAAACTACAGCTCAAAATCACAGAGGCAAGTAAATGGTGAAGCCAGGACTTGAACTTCAGTGTGTCTGAACAAAATCCATGCTTTTAAACAGTGTCCAAAAAATGCAAAGAAAATCGAACCCATCAACTGAACTCATGACTAAATTGTTATCAACATAGGCAGTGGAAGTCAAGCAACTACAGAATTGAAGTATGGCAAAGTCAGTAATAGCCACTTCTCCACACATACCAAGCACTTTACATGTTAAATTTGTTGACAAAAATCTGAGCTCATACATTGATTACAATGAGAGAGTTACAAAATAAATCTAGGTTCAGTGTGCATTTTTTCCTCTCAGAACCTAGAATAATTTTTTTCTGAGATTTTGGCAATTGGAGACGTAAACACTGAAAGTCCTTTAACTATTTGTTTATTACCTCTGGATGCAAGATTGCTGGTACTGTGATTGTGAAAAGCACACAGTGCTAATGACAGATTCTCTTTCTACTCTGAAACTCCAGAAGAATAGAGATGCAATCCTAGAGAGAGAATTTAACACCACAAGCTATATGACTAAGGGCAAAGAGTAGAAAATTAGCAGGACTCTATTAAGGTGTTATAGCAATCCACCTAACACATAGATGAAAAAGGCATAAAACAAAATAAAACACAGCAGCTGCACCTTCTCTATTGAGAAAGGGGGAAAAGTCACCTGTAATGTTCAGAATTCCTTTCAGTATTAAAAAGAAATCCATTAATCATCTTCCTTTGAGGTTTAAAAGATAAAAAAAGAATAGTAGATAAGAAAAGGAAAAGGTGGCAGGGACAAAACATTTTAAAAGACAGAAAAGAGTGAATGCAAGTGGATGAGCTGGTACACCTGGCCTGGATTCCCATTCCCTCAGATTTCCTAGTGAGGGGACAAACCAAGGCCTGGGTTACCATTCCTCTGATTGTGTTAGTTGGTTCAAGATCTCCGAAGTGCTACTTTCATTTGAAAGGTTATATTTCAAATTCAGATTTACCTAGATAAACTTGATCCAGCTATTATGGAAATCTACAGAAATCTTTGGAGTAGTTACTCATATGCAGCTTAAATCATGTAACTATTGGAGCTCAAGGAATGAATAATTCAATTAGTCTCAGTGAAGAATGAAAAATACATTGTAGTAAAGTATAATTGAAAGCAGCATTGCGCAGCCAGGCGTGGCTCAGCAGTTGAGCATCGACCTGGGATCCAGGCGATCAGGGTTCGATTCCCAGTCAGGGTACATGCCTGGGTTGTGGGCTCGATCAATGCCTCTCTCATTGTTGATGTTTCTATCTCTCTCTCTCCCTCTCCTTTCCTCTCTCTGAAATCAATAAAGATATATTTTTTTAAAAAGAAAGAAAAGAAAATAGTATTTAGCATGAAATATCCCTAAATGTCTTTAGTGTAAAAATAAAGACACTGTAAAGGAAGATAATAGCCCTGAGTAATGTAAATATGAGTGCATAAATTCCCTAAAAGGTTTTGCTCTATGTGTGAGGCTACAGACCACATAAAAATAGTGCTAAGTCTACAACCGAACCCATTTCTCGGGTTCCCCACATTTTGGTTTGCTTGAACTGCCTCCGCCACTAAATCTGGCCTCTGGATTATATTGATCTCTCCCAGCTCATCTTATCAAGGTTTAGAAAAAATCCTTCCAGCTCAGTTAGTTCAGAAACAAAGTGGGAATTCTCTCAAAAAGCTCTTTATCTCAGACACTAGAGGACAGCAAAAGCGAAAATATACAAACTCCCAATTAAGCTGTTGCTTCAAACTGAAGTAAAGACTAATCTCAAAAGCTCCTAGATAGCACAGTTTATGGAGTACCTGGGCCCCAAGTCTCTTGACTCATCCTAGCTTCGAAAGGAAAGGAAGATTTCCATTGTTCAGGTCTTTCTGATTTTCTTTTCCCTTGTATATGAGGCTTCTCTTCAGGGGAGAGAGGTACAAATATTCAGGACACACTTTCTAGTTAGAAGAATAACAATTAATTGGCTATTGTGTACCTTTGGCTAGAATAAAGATCATAGTAAGTCCCTAGCTACACATCACATTTGAGTCCTTTTCAGATAGATCAAGGTCTGTAAGAACTTGGTCATTCCCTCCCTTCTAAGAATACAAGAGGCATTTCCCTACAGTAAGGTAGGATGGATGAACAGAATAGATTCGATGACATGGAAGCATAGGGGAGACTGACAAATGTCAGAGGGATGGAGGAGGGTAGGTGGGTAGAGGGGGAGAGATTAACCAAAGAATTTATATGCACATATGCACAGCCCAAGGACATGGACAATGGTGGGGAGAGGGACTGGGGAGGGGGATGGGATCAGGTGGAGTGGGTCATTGGGGAGAAAAAAGGGACATCTGTAATACTTTAAACAAAAATTAAATTTAAAAAATTAAAAAAAAATAAATTCAAAAAAGAAAAGATAGGATGGAAAGAAAAAAATCACAAACACATAAAACACTTCGTTTTTCATTTTGCTAACACATCACAGGCACTACTGTCTGATTTGCTATGAATTTCTGTGGAGTGAAGAAAAGAAAATACCTTTAGTCTAGCTGAACAATAGCATGTTCTGTGCTGAATTTGTTAAACCGAACATCTTTTGTCCAAGCTTTGGTTTTCACATCAGTGAATATATCCAGGTAGAAGGCAGAAGAAAATAAAACAGAAAAGTAGCTTTTGTGGTAGACATAAGGGGAATGAGAAAGAGGAGTTTGTAGCAACATGGAGGGAGAAGAACACATGTTTTAGGCACTGAGACCAGCCTCAGAACCAGGGAGACCCCATATCCAACACAGTGTCTGACATCTAAGTGCTCAATAAATGATGGATGAATGAGTCCCGTAGTGACTGCTCCTTAGATCCTGGACTATGGACCTTTCATTGGATATACTTGTGCTATTAAACTATTCCCAGAATTTTGAGTCTTTTATCTGAGGGTAAAAGACAGCTGATTGGAAAGCAATATTTCCCACAAACCAAGCTAGAGAGCAACAACAACATACAGGGCCACGAAGAGCAAAGGCAAATGGGAAAAATCATGGAGAGGTTAGTGACTTAATCAAGGGTACAGAATCAGAACTGGGAAAGCCACACTGAATTTACTCATTCCTGTTATGCATGCTCTGCACCAAACCAGGCTGGACCTACCACCTACCTCTATTAACTTATCACAATCTCATATTGACTGAACACATTCTACAGGTGGTATTTGATTTGGCTGAACACTTTAGTACTGTTTGTAGCAACAAAAATGATAGCTAGTCCCATGCAGTCACCATGAGTGAGGAGAAAGGTCTTTAAAAAATAAATAAAAATGACCAAATGACATCTTTTTGGATCATGCACTTAATGGATTATTGGGAGCAAAGGTTAAAGCTCAGGCTGTTTTCTCTGTCTACCGGCAACGGTTGGTGACTGGCCTCCCTTTATTTCCTGAAGTGTCAGTAAAGAACATGAGCTAATTGTTATCTTAGCCTATGCTAGCCTATGTAAAATATAATTCAAAAATTTAGATCTGCCACTCAAAACTCTATAATATACTCCAAAACCATATAGTCACTCTGTTAGCCTAGATCCTCCTAGAAAAAAAGAGCCTGTGACACAAGCTTATTTATTAGGGCTGCAATCCTAGGGAGCAAGAGTAAGGGACAGGGGAGTGAGGCAGTGAGGAAAGGAGAAACAATAATAAACTGAGTCTTCTTCCACAACTGATTGCTTGATCTCCTGGGACTGTTTTCCAAGAAGCCTTACGAACCGGCCTCAGGATAGTCCATCTACAAGGGGGGAAGAGGTGAAAAAAATTGTCCATAAACATCTGTCTTCCATTGGTCAAAAGTTCAGCATATGGGTTGAATACATCTCCAGGTTGTATGTGCTGGGACACCTGGGAAGGTCATGTGGCATCCTGTGCCTCAGGATCAACAGGGAAGTACCAAAGCAGGAGATGAGAGACATGCAGTGCAGATATGAGCCAATGCCATTCAACATGAGGCCAGTGGAAGTCTATGTAAAACTGATCACCAAAGTCCTGGGAGAAGACACAGGGGAAGCTGAGAGGAACTAAGGTAGTGCATAGGCGGGGTCTAATATAGTCACTCATTTTCAACCTTTTCATGTTCTAACTGCACTGACAAGTGAGCATTTCTACTGAAAGTTGTAATGTTGTTGAGCATATAGGTAAGGCAGAAAGTGTCTTCTATTCATTGTGTTCCTGTGCTACTCTAGAGACAGAAATAGGCCCAAGAGCAGAGCCTGTTTCTCTTAACTCAGCCATCTCAGCTAGCAAGCCATGAACCATACTACTTCCTGTTACTGAGATGACACAGGAGAAACAAAGGGAAAGCACAATAATTAGAAAATATGAAATAAGATGGTAGAAATAAGCCAAATATATCAGGAACCACAATTAATTTGAAATGGTGTTAATGACAATTTTCAGCCTGGAGTTAAAAATCAAATTGTATGTTGTTGACAAAAAAGATACCTAAAATAAAATTACACCAGTAGGCTAAAATAAAGGGATGTAATATGATTTTTCAGGTAAATCCTAACAAAAGGAAATGGGCAAAGCAATCTTAATGTCAGATAAAACAGAATCCAAGATAAAAAGCATTATGAGACAAAGAAAGATATTTTATATTAATAAGGGATATTGTGTAGGAAAGTAAAAAAAAAAAAAAATGTGAGCCACTAGAATGCTTATCATTATCAACACATAATGTCTTTGACATTTAGCTACCTAAAAGGACCCTATTTCATTCTCTTGTGTTGGTACATACCCACCTCAGCTAGCTACAAGTTTCCTTTGATAAATTGGGTTATATTAAAACTATGAACTTCTATTCAGCAAAATATACTATGTAAGGTGAAAAGGCAAGTCACAAAGTAGGAGATGACATCTGCATCATATATATACAATAACTGGAACTCTCATACACTGCTGGTGGAAATTTAAATGTGTACAATTAGAAACCAAAAAAATTCTGGAAGAAAACATAGGCACTAAAATCTCAGACATTTCTTGCAGCAATATTTTTGCCAATATGTCTCCTAGGGCAAGGGAAACTCAGGAAAATATAAACACATGGGACTACAATGAAGCTCAAAAGCTTCTGCACAGCAAAAGAAACCATCTACAAAATGAAAAGGGAACCCACTGTATGGGAGAACATGTTTGCTAATAATATATTGATAAGGGGTTAATTTCCAAAATATAAAAAGAACCTATACAACTCAACACCAGGAAGACAAGCAATCCCATTAAAAAAAGGACAAAGGACCTGAATAGACACTTCTCCAAAGAGGACATACAGATGCCAAGAGACACATGAGAAAATGCTCAGCATCACTAATCATCAGAGATGCAAATTAAAACCACACTTGTCAGAATGGCTCCGTCAACAAATCAACAAACGACATGTGCTGCGAGGGTGTGGAGAAAGGGGAACCTAGTGCACTGCTGGTGGGAATGCATCCTGGTGCAGCCACTGTGAAAAGCAGTATGGAGGGTCCTCAAAAAATTAAAAATTTAGCTGCCTTTTGACCCAATGATCCCACTTCTGAGAATATATCCTAAGAATCCTGAAACACCAATCAGGAAGAATACATGCACCCCTATGTTCATTGCAGCGTTATTTACAATAGCCAAGATCTGGAAACAGCCCAAGTGCCCATCAGTAGAATAGTGGATAAAATAGCTGTGGGACATTTACATCATGGAATACTATGAAGCTATAAATAAGAAGGATCTCTTGCCCTTTGTTACAGCATGGATGGATCTGGAGAGTACTATGCTAAGTGAAATAAGCTGGTCAGAGAAAGAAAAATATCATAGGATCTCACTAATATGTGGAATTTAATAAATAAAATAAACTGACAAACAAAATGGAACCAGAAGCACTGATACATGGAATAGGCTGGAGGGTGCCAGAAGGAAGGGATGGGGGTAACTAGATAAAGAGTTGAAGGGGTTAGCTAAAAAACATATGCATATCCCATGGACACAGACAATAGTATGGTGAAGGCCAAGGGCAGAGGAGGCAGGGGAAGTGGAGGTGGGCAAAGGGGGTAGGGAATGGGGGAAGTCTGCAATAATGTCAACATTAAAATTTTTTAATAAAAAATTGTGTACAATTATTTTAGAAAACTACTTAGCAATATCTACTAAACCTGAACATATGATCCAATAATTGCACTCATAAATACACATCTAGAAAATATGCATGAATATGTTACCAAAAGATATATACAAGAATGTTCATAACTGCTTTATACAAAAACAAGAGCCCCAAACTGGAAACTCAACTCAAATATCCATCAACAGTAAAATGGATGAATAAAAGTAGTAATATTTATACAGTGGGAAACTACACACCATGTAAATGAAGTACTGCTATACAAAACAACAGGGATGAATCTCACAGTCAAAATGTTAAATGAAAGACACAGAAGAGTGCATATTGTGAGCTTCTACTTATATAAAGTTCATGAACAGGCAAAATTCATTGATTTTTAGAAGTTAGGGTAATGGTAATTTTGGAAAAGAGGAAGAGTATAATGATTTGAAAGGAGGCATTAGGAGAGTTTCTAGGATGTTGATAATGTCCTGTGTATTGATCTGCTTAGTGTTTAAATAGGTGCATCCACTTTGTGAAAAATTCACACTAAAGTTCTGTGTACTTTTCTGAATATGTATTATATTTAATAAACATTTAAATTGTAGTCCATGATTTAGTGAAAGTAGAATATCCAAACCTTCAGTTTTATGTCAAATCAAATATATTGCTGCCACTGTTATATATTAAGAATTTTATTTTATCTTTCTTCTCTTAGCTCAAGGCTCCTGGCTTTTCTCCATGAATGTCCCCAGCTTATATATGACCTACACATGAGTCAGTAGTTTCATGTACTTTTTAGAAATGGATGTTAAAGGATGCTATTACTGTTGATTTTGCTTTCTTTCAGATGCAACATGCAGCATTAAGAATGGCAGGTGCAAGCAGTTTTGTAAAAAGGGCAGAGATAACAAGGTGCTTTGTTCCTGTACTACAGGATATCGACTTGCAGAAGACCAAAAGTCCTGTGAACCAGCAGGTCAAAATCTAAATAAGTTTTTTTTTTTAAGCTTAGCATATACATTCTCCAAATCTATATTTGAACCATTAGCATTTTAACTAGCCTACATAATTATAATCCCTACTTGTTTTTACTGCTTTTTGAAATCATAGAAAACAGTAGTCACAAGAATTGGAAAACTTAATTTTTCACATTGCATCATCATTTTAAATAGAAATTCTGTAAATGTCTTTAGTCTGAATTCTTTTCCATGTGTCCAATTTTTTCTCTGACTTTTATGTCATGAAGCAATCGATTTGTGTGATTTCTGTATGTGTATTTGTAATTCATCCAGTCAAATTAATGTAGCAATCCTATGCCATGAAAGATCTATAAATGATGGAATGATAGGCTTCTAATACAAGGATGGTGAATTTTAAGCATGATTCTGCCAAGGTGTGGCTGGCTTCCTCTGAGAAAATTATTTCCTATCCTTGGGTCTCAGGCTGAGTTTACACCTTTGGTATCAGAATAGTTCTGACAACCATCTGTTTTAAGCCGTGCCAGGCTGCTCAGCACAGTCCATCTATTCATCGGTGGACAAAGCAGTGTTTCCCAGTCATGTTAACCATGCTGCCATGTTGACAGTGACTGGTGCATTCAGAACATCACCACTCCACACTCATATGACTCTTCTCTGAAAATGAAAGCAGTAGAAACTTTGATTTTTTTTTAAAAAAAGTAGGCTCTGCAAGACCATTATATTTGATAAATGAGGGGTCTATTTGAAACAATATACAATTTCTTTTGCATTTCCAAAGCCTGATATCTTATTAAATTGGTACATTAAATCATGCACCATTCCTCTGTAACTGGGTTCAATACCTATCTCAGCAATGCCTTTAGCAGAGGAAATTAAAGAAAGGACCGGAAGCCAAGAGTATTCATGCTGCAACTAAAGTAAAGAGTATTTAATGCTTCAAGGTCCCACCTGTCTTTCCTACCTGCTTCTTCATATACACTGCTTCAAAGTCAGCCTACTTGGAAGGAGGATATATATATTCCAGTGTAGACAGAAGGCATAATAGCTAAATCCTTATAAGCCCTTCCATGTTATAAGAGAGAAAAGAATTGAGAACCACCTCCAAATATTAAGGTGTTACATCTGAATATAGCCTTTGCTTTAGCAGAATAAGTAGGCCAAACCTAAAATAAGCTTTTCTGCCTTTCAATAGTAATGGTCCCTTTTCTCTAACCATTGATGATTTATATTTATACAGAAGTATTTTGAACTAATTTCCTGTTTCCCAACCACATGCTGTCTTCATGATACTTTGCCTCAGCTGGTTGCTATAGAAATGTCTGTTATAAGGAATGTGGTTGGAAGGAAAGTGAGAAATGAAAATAAAATGTGAGGTGACTTTGCTTGACTACAAATTTCCATTCTGGTTGTCCCCACTGCATCAGTAGACAATTTCTTTTCTTTAGGAAATAAACCAACCCAAGGTAAAAAGTTGGCCAGTTCCCAGGTGGACATAGCTGTGATAATCATATTAGTAATTTATTTGGTTAACACTTGACAGTCAGGTAATTAAATCACAGTGATTTCACCCCCCACAAGATATACCTAAAATCCACCTTGGAATCTAGAAGGCACTCTAGTCTACAAAAGAAATTCTGTTAACAATAAGCAGCAGAAGTACCATTTACTTAATTCTAAAGTTAAAGTTACAAGGCACCAATCCTCAGACTTCCATTCAGGGACAGTACTTGTGAATAAAACTTTTTAGTAAAAACAAAAAACTAAACAGGAGGTCATTAGACTTTACAAAGATCTTACAAAATTTGATTCTGGAACTCTTATCTTATTTCCGTAATGATGATGGATTCTTGAGTGAAATCTTTTCATGAAATGTTTGAAAACTTACTATGAAAATAATGCAATTAACATTTTAGTTTGAGACTATATTCATTGATTAAATTTTTTTTTTAAATATTGATGGGCCTGCTTTTCAGAAGTGACAAGGATGGGCCTCATTTTCAATCTTTGTAATACATGTTCTTCTTGACAATGAGAAATATTCAAATACTATTTTTCCCCCCATTTTTCTAGTGCCATTTCCGTGTGGAAAAGTTTCTGTCTCACTCAATTCTCTGAAGCTCACTCGTGCTGAGACTATTTTTTCCTATACGGACTATGAAAATTCTACTGATGATGAAACAATTTTGGATAACGTCACTCAAAGCACTCAACCATTTAACAACTTCATTCGAGTTGTTGGTGGAGAAAATGCCAAACCAGGTCAATTCCCTTGGCAGGTACTCTATATTGATGGTGTGTCAAAACTGGAGGGCAAGGGGCGGGCGGGCAGGCAGGTGAGGTGGGAGGCTGAGGCTACAACACTAGGTAGACCTATCTGGGTATGGGAAGTGTTTAGGCAAGTTTCAGCACTAAGCAATATGAGGAATCCCCCATAGGTGTGGGGAACTGGTGAAAGAGAAGTCCAGAGAGAGCTACTATACAAGGTCAAAAAGAGTTTGTCATCAAGTAACTAGCATAGCAGCATTCCAGACAAGTAATAGGAAGGGCTGGAAGTGAGGTGACAGGTACTGGGGTTCAAGGTACTACTTTAGGTTCATCCCCTGGGAGAACTGGTAAGAATCAAAAAATCTCTAGTTCAAAAAAAACTATTATTTCTAAGGGATTTTAAAAAGGACTCAAGTAGTAAGAATTAAGACAAGAACTGGGCTATTAGAACCAGGATATAAGATAAGTGCTTGGTCCAAGCCTGTGGTTCTCAAAGTCTGGTAGCATCAGAATCTCCTGGGAACTTGTTAGGAATGCATATTTTCATGCTATACCTTAGACCTACCAAATCAGAGTCTCTGAGGGTGGGGCCCAGCAATTGATGTGCTACAAGCCCTTCAGGTAATTCTAATGTGCACTATACTTTGAAATCCAATTGTCTAAAGGAAACAATCTTGTTACAGAAGCTATGATCCAAAACCACAAATAGTGGACTCCTGGTACCTAATCACACATTCCTCCAGATGTGAACAGCAGACAACCCACATGAGAATCACCTGTGCAAATTTTTAAAAAAAATGTATTTTTACTGATTTCAGAGAGAGAGGGAGAGAGA